CTTGTCCGGACTCCAAGAATGATATGAATGATAATTTCCAGAGTCGGTTTGTGGACTTGGTACATACCCAGACATGCGGTACCCAGATGACTACTTGACAATTTGGTCGCATTGAAGAGAAAAATGGGAGGATTTCTGAGGTTCATGAACCGGGTTGATTAAATAATCAAGTTCACAATGGAGGTAGAGGAAGAAGGACATTTAGCTTTCCTAGATGTGTAAATAATTTGCTCTATTGGGACAGTCAAGAGGAATCGTTCAGAAAGGAGTGAAATACCAAAATAACACTCAATTTCGAGTATCATTACAACTACAAAATGAAGATAGGCATACTGATAAGCATGATAATCAGAAGCCTACGAGTAAGGGCTGAAGAATTCTGGGATAAAGAATGGGCAAAATAGACTCGGATATGCCTCGGGAACGAATATCCGGGGGATGTGCTACAAATAAACATACTGGCCATGAAGAGCCAACAGCAGGGCGGGGATTATGAAAGAAATGTAAAGATGGAGGAAGACTACAAAAGAGGATATGTTTCTCCTTCTGTGAACTAGCTCAAAATCATGGCCAATGTTAAGAAGATGAAACATTCAGGTGATCGCGAATGGAGTTTACTGTATAGCATGCGGCGCCTGCAAGCAGAAATGTATTGGTTAAACTGGGAGATAAATCGTCAAATGAATCAAGGAACATCAAAGGCTCTGCAGGAGAATGGACGTCAGAATATCAGAATTAGCGAAGCACAATGCACAGACTGGACAAGAGATCAACTGGGAGGCAACTGAAAGAGGGGCTTCATATGGTGAACACACAAAGGAACAGAAGCTTTGAGAGACCATTGACATCATTGGGGAAATTGATGTATTAGAAGACAGAGCTAGTGACAACTTTGCCTATTGTCTAATCAAGCTAGAAGAAAACAAAGATACCAAAAGACAAGTGAGAAACGCATCTACAGGCCATGAAGCAGCCGAGGACAGGAGGTGCGAGTCGGATCAGCCACTCGAAAGGGAGGGGGCAAGGAAGACAGCAGGTGTGATGACGCTAGTGTGAATTCGCGATAGGGCGAGAGTGGGACAAGAGGGTTAAGAACATAAAGGCGGGTGATAGCCCGACCGTTTCGGCAGAAAGTCGGTCTTTGACGAATTGTGGTGTGGTGCTGAGAATGGCATGACGTACTGACGATGCCGCCGAAACGTCTGGGCATGTACCAAGTCCACAGTCCGACGCTGGGAATTATGAAAACTACCATAGCAGAGGATGTTGGGACACAGTGCGTCCGACAAAGTCACCCTGACAACACAACCAGCGTTGTGCGACCCTGGTCATGCCCCATCTATATTAAACCTACTTTAGGTCATCTGGTCACGAAATATCTTAGTGACAATTTAGGCGCCCCCCCTTCAAGTGGTTAAACATTCACATTTGCTCTAAAACGTTAGTTTCCATGATTTTTGCTATTGTTTTATCCTTCGAAACGAAACGAGGTTGCTTCAGTAAAAAAACACAATCAATTAGACAACTATCTTGTTTACTCATTACACACTGCTTATCCTTTACAAGTAATACACATAACTTCAGTGGCAATCATTAATTCAAATGAACTGTGCTGAATGGTGCTTGCACATAATAGATCGTCGCCATTCAGGCATTCAGATTACATAATTATTTATCATGTCCTATAACTATATGTTCCGATTCCAGATCGGGATGAAGACCAGACCCGATAAATTTCATATACTGTCTTCCCCACATGAGTAAGCGCTTTGGACGAATGATGTCTGTCAGTTTCCAGGTCCATCAAGGAGCACCAGAGAGATCTATTAAAGCCAGCTTTTACATGCTGAGTTTTTTCATTTGTTAAATATTTCGGTAAATTGACGTTTGCTGGTCATTGTCTTATGGGGCACAGACTTAGAGGGTGTTTCCGACCTCTTGGATGGGATATAAAACTCAGTTGCGTGCATTCAATTATTAGAGTTTGTCAGTCATCTTGTTTAAGGAATGTCATGGAAATCCCTGCTTTGTGTCCCTATAATTTGGCGAAATAATCGTCTAATTCAACTTGCTCATCTCCTGTCCTAGCGAATTAGCAACGTATTAATTACCGTGAACAGCAAATACTTACTCTTGTACTGAAGGCACGATGGTACCTCCGGGCGGGAGAAGCGAACTGGCTAGACTCGTGGATCTTGCCCAGCCCAGGGGCCGAAATCGTCGCTTGCCCCACTTGCCTCGCTCCCTTAGGAGTTTGGCTTTGATTGAGGAAAGAGAATGGAAACAGATCGCCGAGTCGACGTCATCAGAAAGAATACAACTTTGTCGGACATGCTTACTCTGACGGCAAAATGAAGCTGCGTTCCGTGCACCAAAGTACCCCAGAAAATTCAAACAGGTCGCGAAAACAAACAAAAATAAACGACAGATATTTACTTTTCGCAGGTTGCACAACCTCCTAAATGATATGCACTTTTGCGTGTTAAAAAGATCACAAATCACTTTATTCAGAATATCTCATACTACTTAATTATTATATAAAAGTAGCAGATAATTAATAATTAAGTAATTAATTAATTTTAACTTTTATAATTATAATTAAAAAGTAAGTACTAATTAAGATATAGGTATATAATAAAAATAACGGTGTTACGGCAATTTTACGAAAGAATCATATTAAATGTGATCTTTCATAGTGGAGCTGGGTTTGGAAAATTTATTTAATTAATTCATCTTGTGGTACCATTTGATTTGGTACAGTCTGCGACAAATCTTTGTGTATCAGGTCTGATATCATGACTGTCCAGTTTGTCTGAAGTTAGTCTCTGATACAACTTCACCAGATTCTTAAACTTATCATCATAGCAGTCTAAAATTGGGAAGTAATTGATGTTGGCTGACCAGTAAACCTAAATTCAATCAAAAGCTTAAGCAGTTTTATTTCTTCATAACAATTTTTTGTAATGCTACTAACAGCATTTCCTCTTGTTTTGTCACATGTTTGACTGGGCATCCTGCAAAAATGTCTATTCCCCTATGGCGGAACATGCTCTTTGCCGAGGCAGCCTTTGTAGACGAACTGCGAAGCGATACTTTGAGGGTCTGATCTGACGGACTAGTTGTCCCCAATTGAGGCAATCTTCGAGATCGCAACCCTCTCGTCCGTCGTCGCCCTCCTTTTGGCGTCTTAACTGCCCGGCTTTGCCCACCTCCAAGCTCTTCGTTTGTTTCACCCTCATCCCCACGACTACACGTCTCCCTGTCCGGAAGGACATGTACAGTTCCAATATTCATCTTCCCTCTGAAGTCAGACGAGGACATGAAGAGGGTTGTTGCTAACTTGTCTTGCGATCCGATACGGCGTCGCGGCATGCAGCACTTCCGAACACTCCCGAGTGACGACAACAGCTTTCTGGCCTCGACGACAAAGTGGAGACATAAACTAGTGGAGGTCGCCTCATTGGCACGTCATCGCAACCAGTAAGTGGCTGACTGAAAACTCGGCCAGAAGGGAAGGGATCAGGCCGGTAGGTGATCGAGAACTGAGGTGACGCCTCAAACTGTGCACTGTGATGATCTGATCAGGAGACTTCCGGAGGATCCTTTCATCTCTGCTCCCTCCACCGTCAAGCAAGGCGTTTACACCAATTGGTTGCCACGCCTTAACATGTGGTGCAACTTCACGAACCACATGATGGACCGCAGCCACAGAAACGTCAACGCCAACGCCAATATCAAAAAAGACACCAAAATCACGAGCTTAAATCCAAGACGCCTGGACTTTGGTTAACTTTGGCCTCTCTGACTGGCAGAAGAGAATCATCGGAACGCCGGAGTTTTAATCAGCCACAAAGTAGCAAAAAGAGGCTGTTGCATATTTTATCACACTCTTAGCCTCGTGTCTGTGTGTGTGTATATATACTGGATCAGATTTTCCCTAGCAGCCCTTCGAGGTGTATACTCGACAGGGAGGCTTGTAGAACTCATTCCCTATATGGTTTCGAGAAGACCACCCCACAAACTCGTCAACAAGGCTGTGCAACAAATTGATATGGAATTGTATTTAGTTTGGCTACATCTGCGCTCATTCATACCGACTACATTTTTGGCCAGATTCACATCACTTGAGTCGAGTAAACATCAGAGGCTA